GAGGGGCCGCGTCAGGGATTGGGGCGGGTGGAGGGCGACGGTGGGCTGCAGGCCGGGCCCAAAGACCCTAACTTTGGCGGGCATGTCACTTTGGGGCCTGCGGGCGCGCAGTTCTCCTGGTGGCATCCCAGGTTCACTGCTCTTCTTCCGTTGTCGCCTCACCTCCTGCAGGTGGCCGAGGGAGGCCCGACCCGCGAGCCGCTGCCACTGCTGGAGGTGACCCCTCTCAAGAGGCTGCCCCCGGGACCAGACCAGGACCCATGCGGCCGCCCTGCGCCAGAGGGCGCTGGGGCCAGCGCCGAGCAGGGCCACTCGGCGGGCGGAGGTGGCTGGTGCCGCCACTGCCACACGAAGCTCGCAGAGCTCAAGCGACAGGCGTGGAAACTGGTCAGTGGGCCCGGGACACAACTCCGGGTAAGTGAGCCTCACGAGTTCCCCAACTCCCCACCCCCCAGCGGCCGGCTGGGCCTGCAGGAAGCCTAGTGTTCAGGCTGCCTACTTCTCGAGCCCTCTCCAGCCTCAGTTTCCCTGCTGTCCCTGGTGTGTGTGCGTGCATCTGGGGGAAGCTCCCAGGGGCGGTTGGAGCGGCTGTGACTCTGGAATCCAGATGCCTCACAGCTGGTACTGCATCTGTGTTTAGGTGGGGGAGGGGAAGGTGGGGACTCCACCCTGGGCGGGACAGCCCCGGCCCTACCCTGCCAGCAGAAGAGAGGTTACTGGGTGCGTTGTCACCCTTGGGGCACCTGGGCCCCCAGCCAGGTGTCGGGACTGAACACCTGGGTCGCAGGGCCTGGAGGGTGCCAGTGTGGGCTGGCCCCTGCCTGCCTCCCTCCCAGCATGCCCCCCAGATCCATGGCCCACTGGGTCCGAGGAGTGGGGGGCAGGCTGCAGCCCAGCAGGGTGTCTGCAAGGCAGGGGCAGTCAGTTCTGTGGCCAGAGCTTGGAAGGCACGGGGCTATTGTTCCCGCAAACAATGTGCTGGAAGTTTGCAGTGCAGTGGAGGTGGGGGTCTCCAGAGGAAGCCTGTCCCTCCCGCCCTTCAGAATTCCTGGGAAGTCCAGGGTTCCCATGCCTCTAAATATAGTGTTGCCTGGGGGGGGGGGAGTGAGCCCCCAGGGGTGGCAGGGCCTCTCTGTATGCAGGTTGGGGCTTGGTGGCCACAGGCCTGGCCTCTGCCCAAGGGCACAAGCTCCTGCCCAGCCCTCCTGGAGGGCGAGGGAGCTGTGGCCTGTCTGGGGTGGGGGTGCCCCAGGAGTCCTGCTGTACCTGCTGGCTGGGCAGGTGTTAGGGCAAAGTCATTACAAACACGTTCACTCCAAGCACACAAAACCTGCACCAAGGGCGAAGAGGCGCCCAGGCCTCAGATGGCCTGTCAGAGTACTGGGTGCATCCCGGGCAATCACTGAGAGGATTGTTGGGGTGGCCAGCCCTTCATGGTGGAATGACATGCCATCACACCTGGTCTTCAGAATAACGCAGTGTCTGGCTGTGGGCAGTGTTGCAGTTAGGCGACAGGGACCCTGGAGGTGGGGCCTGGATATACATCAGGGAGAAGTGTCAGCTCGGGGAGGAGGCAGGGGCTTCCTTCTCGCTGTGGTCCTTCCAGAGACCAGCCTTTCTGGGGTGCTGCGTCCTAGAAGGCCCATGCCTGGGTTATAAAGCACGTGGGGTTTCAGGGTAGAGCCCACGAGCTACAGGTGCCCACAGAGAGGAGGGGCTTTACGCTGTCCTTGTCCTGGTGGGTGATCATTGGAAGGAGTGTGGAGAGGTCTGAAGGCCACAGCAGGCCCTGGTGGACTGAGGCCCCTGGTCCGGGGCCCCGTGGGTGTACCCTACAGACAGCTGTGACCCTGCAGGGCATTTGTCTACAGCTTCCCGGGCTCTCTGAGTCTGCTGGTTGACATGGTGCTTCACCCTCCTCCCCAGCCCCCCAGAGTCCTGTTCATCCAACAGACCAGGGGCCCAGCCTGGACACATGGCTAGCACCTTGCTCTTGTCTGGTGGCTGTGAGTCCGCATCTCAGGGCCCTTCTCAGTGGGTCCTCAGCTGGGGGGAGGCTCAGGAGTGTTAAGATGTGGGGTGCTTAGCCTAAGGCTGGGGCGAAGGCTCCCCCAGACAAGAACCAGGGACCTGGGTCCTCGAAGGGCATCTATGGGCCCTTGGGGGTAACCCTGGACCATTGGGAGGTATCTCTGGGCCCTCGCTGGGGTGTTTCTTGGGGACACCTTGGGGGTGTCCCTGTCCTGTTCCCTTTGAGAGCTGGCCCTTCCCTTGTGACCCCCAGACTCCCCCTGCGCCCCTCAGCTGAGGCCTGGCAGATGTAGACCACTTTCTGGAGGGGAGCTCTTGAGGGGAGGGGAGGGACTGTGTCTGGGGCTCGGGGGCTGGGAGGGGAGTGGCCTGGTGACATGAAGCATGGACCCCTACTTCTGTGGAGCACAGCTGTGCCCCCCTGCCCCCCCCCCCCGGCTCCAGGGGGCCGCTTGTCCAGGTGCAAAGCACCAGACCTTTCTTCCAAGCCCCTCCCCTGGGCTGGCAGGTAAGCAGCTGAGCTGATCCGAGGGCGTCCTGGGCTCCTGGACAGTGTAGGGACCACCCGCTGGCCCTGCCCAGCACTACATCAGAGAGCCACGGTGGGCAGACAGGTACTGGCCACTGGGTACATGAAGTTCCCCACCCCCCTCTGGCCCCAGCCTGGGTGTCCCCACCCCCTGTTGCTGTGATTCTTTGCAGAGGACAGGGCTCAAGGCTTCTTGGGGTCCCTGGTATTGGACACAGTGGCCAGGGTCCCTGCCTGCCCCCATGTAGGATTCTCACTACACCCCCAACCCAGCCCCCTTTTTACTTCGGAGGTCAGCTCCCCCAAGAAGACTGTGTACCTCTTCAGCACCCTGCTCCTTGGGACCACTCCTCTCTGTCCCTCCCCCCTCCCCCCTGCACTATGTGGGGCCCATCCCCCAGAAGTGCTCACAGAGGGACTGCCCATTCTGCACTCTTTCTGTGGGCTTTAGGGCTGGGCCTCCTTTGCCCTCTGGCCCCTCCCTGGGAGGACCATGCCCCTGTCTGAAGGAGGGACCCCCTGGGGCACCGCTCCAGCTGCTGCCCCAGATGTGGCATGCGGAGGTGACACCTCCTGTGTCAGCACCCACACTGAGTTGGTTAGCACCCTGCAGTGGCGGTGAGTGTTTCTCACCTTGCTCCCCAGGCAGAGTCCCCGCAGTGCTCAAGGTGGCCTGCCTCGCTCCAGGGCAGCCGGGGCCTGAGCCTGGGCAGCCTGACTCCCTCTTGGGGAGCCCACTGGGGTGGCAGTCCTGCCAGTGCTGGCTTGGCTCTTCTTCCCAGGAAATCCCGTCCCCCACTCACTGCCCACCTCTGAACCTGCTGCCTGGGACAGGGGGCTGGGCTCAGTTCAAGTTTGCATGCAGCTGCCCGAGGATGCTGGCATGACGTTCCCTAAGGCCAAGCTGGTGGCTGGCCAGTGGCCCTCGTGTCTCGGGACTGTGGTGCCCAGGTGTCAGGGAGCCTTGGTGGCAGCCAGAGGAGGTGTGAGAAGGGCGGGCTCTCCCTGAGGCAGCCACTCCGCTGTCAGGGGACCCTGTGACTCAGCTGGGAGGGACTGCCACTGCAGCTGGGCCCAGAAGGGCTCTCTCCAGCTCGGCATGCACTGGCTGTGGGAGACCGAGCCTGGGCAGGCCAGGCGCGGGAGGCGGCCCTCCTCAGTGAGCGGTGGGGTGGTCCAGCTAGTGGGGTGGTCCAGCTGGCGTCCCCGCTGTGATGTGACCATGCCAGGCCCCAGACTTGGGTTCAGCGTGGGATGGGGGAGAGCCCCTTCTCATGGCTTGGTTGGGGGTTCAGGAGTGAGAGGAGGGCAGTGGGAAGGCATTTACCTTCAATGAGGGGACCCTCGGTTTCTGGGAAGCCAGGATTGGAGAGGGTGGGCCAGCAGCTGGTGAGGCTCAGGGAAGGTGGGCTCCATAGGTGAGTTTTGTGTCCAGTGGAGGCAGGCTGTGACCAGAGGGAGAGCTGGTCCAGTGGCCCCCCTGTCAACAGTGGAGGGACAGGATACAGGGGGGCTACAGTTAAGGGAAAGGCTCTTCTTGCCCCCCCCCACTCTGAAGCCAACACCCCCCCCACCCCCCACCCCGCTATCAGCTTGATTCTGTAGGAAGGAGTTTGGGTTTAGAAGTCATAGAAAACTCTCTCCTTAAAGAGCAAAGTCTACTTCCCCCTTTTCCTCTGACCGCCAGGAAGCTCACAGTGCTTCGGCTCTCCTCCAGCTCCCTGTCCAGCTGTAGTGAACCTTTCTTACGCCTCTTATGGGAGCTAACCGTTCCTGTTGGTTCTCCCTGCTACCTTCTCTGGCCTCAGGGTCTCATTTCAATGTAAGTTGTGTGGTCCCCAGAAGCCGTGGTGCCAGGAGGTGTGCCCATGTTGGTGGGCAGACCAGCAGTGGACCTGCCCGGCGCTGTAGGCCTCACTGTTCCCAGCTGGTCCGTGGGAAGCATGAGCCTGTGTGGAGGGCTGGGACCCAGTGACAGCTGAGTAGGTGGTGTGGCCCCAGGAACTCGGGTGTGGCCTTGTGGTCTGTGTTCCCCACAGTGTGGTGTTGCTTGTGCGCTGTGTCCTTATGCGTGGTGGTCCCACACTGACAAGTGGCCTGGATTTGGGGGCCACTCTGCTTGTGGGTGGAGCCAGCTGGGTCTGACTGGGTGACCTACCCAGGCCTGGGCCCAGGGAGTGTGCCTTGCCTGACTGACTGTCCACCTCCCTGTCCTACCTCCTGCCACGGCTTCTTGTAGGCCTGTTCCCATTCAGGCTGGTCCTGTCCAGAGCCAGAGGCAGACTGCTAAGAAAGGTCTGGCACTGGCTGTGGGAGACCCTGTGGATGGATCACATCCTTGTGGCCACGGCCAGGGGGCCTGAGCCGGGACCAGGACCAGGCAGCTTCTGTTGTGGGTGGGGTCCTTGTGAGCCAGGCCGAGAACCCTGAGCTCCCACTCCTTGTGCCCGGCCCCCATCTGTGCCCCTTTGTCATCCTGGCCGGGACAGGCCCTCAATGACCTTGTCTGTGCTGGAGCTGCCCAGCTGGCTGGCCCTGGCACCCGGCTACTCGGGTCCCGGGTCCCGGGAGGACACCTGGGGACTGGAAGGCCCCTCCTGATGGTTGCCCCCTCCCTGTCTGGCACAGGAGCTGGTGGGCTTCCTCCAGGGCAGCAGTCCGCCCAGCAGCCCGGCCTTCCTGGATCTGTTGTGAACTCGGGAAACAGGCTGCCTGTGGCCACACCCAGGCTGCTCTGTCTGCCTCACAGCTGCCCACCCGAAGCAGCCCCCAGCCCAGGCCCTCTCTCCTTGCCACCCCACCTGCCCTGCCAGTGGGGGCCCCTTTCTTCATGATAGGGTGGGGGCTCAAGGGGGACAGCTGGGTTGGACAGCCACAGGATCGCCCCAGAGCGCTGGAGCTTTGGGGGGAGGGGTGGGGAGCTCAGAGCCGTCAGGGCCCGTGGGAGACCCCCACATGGAACAAATGTTGGGATTCTTTAAGGTGACCCGAGACCCAGGGTGTGGGGTAAAGAATGAAGGTGTCATTTTTAGGAAGTGGGGGCTGGGTTGCACAGTGCTAAGGAATCCGATGAAGAGAAGCAGACTGAATGCAAGACAGGATCCGTTGAATTAGACCATCAGGAGGAAATCAAGGCATCCTATGCTTCAGGGTAATTTCCGTTGTTCGAAGGGCCGAGGCTGCAGAGGAGCCCGGGCTGTGGACTCTGGAGCAGCTCGTGGAGGCTGGGCCCTGGCCGGAACTTGACTGGGCCCGGGAGGGGCAGGAAGTGAAGGGGGGCCTGGATTGTTGGCCAAGGCCAGGAGGAGGGACTAGGTGGCCTTTGTCCAGTTCAGGATCTGGGCCCAGAGTGTGCTGGGCCGCCCACTGTGGGGTGCAGACCTGGATGAACACCCTCATATCCTGCCAGACCCTGGGGTTGATCTTGGCTCCCGGGGAAAAGCCCATGTCTGACCCCCTCCTGAGGCCAGACTGCTGCGGGGATCTGGGGTCCACCCTGCCCCTCCCCTCAGCACACTGTCTGCCCTCTGCCTGCTGACAGACACTGGGCGCTCTGAGGGGTTGGCCGCCCAGCTCTGCCTCAGAGACCCGAGTGCTCCAGGCGTCTGGGGGCTGGCCCCTGGGACAGTTGGAGTCATCGGGTGGGCGGTGGTGGTGGGAGGTCCAACATAGTGCTGGCCACAGCATCTGGGGACTGGGCCCCGGAGCGGCTGGGTGTAGAGCAGTGGGCAATGGGGAGGCCAGGCTGGGTTGGCCATTGTGGACATGCGAACTTCTTCAGCTCTAGTGACCCAGCTGGGACCCCCATTGGGACCCAGGCCACTCCATCTGACTCAGTACTCAAGCCCCAGCCTGAATATGGGTGTGGGGGACCTTCTGCAGCTTCAGTCGAATTCCTGATGACAGCTGGAGGCAGCCCAGCCGGAGCCAGGCTGGGCTGGAAGCAGGCTGGGGTGGCAGGGTGGACTACTCCAGGGTCTCTACCCCCAAGGCAGGCAGATGCCCAAGAGCAGTGGGCTGGTGGACCTGCAGGCCAAGGGAGAGAGCTGAGAGTGTAGCTGGGGCTGGGGCTGGGGCTGGGGCTGGGGCTGGGGCTGAGACTGGGGTGGGCTGGGGTTGGCCTATAACTGGGTCTGGGTGGGCTGGGAAGTGGGTTTGCGGGTTGGATCCGGGTCTGGGGGCTGGGACTATAGTTGTGGTTGGGATCTAGAGTCGTGTCTGGGTCTGGGGTGGGTTTGGGGTTGAGTTGGGGTTTGGGACTAGATCTGGGGTGGGCTGGGGGCTGGGGTGGGCTGGGTCCAGCTCAGGGACTAGGACAGGGGGTGGGTGGGCTCAGGGCTGAATCTGGGGTGGATCTGGGGTGTGCTGGATCTGAGTCTGGGTCTGGGACTAGAGTGGGTCTGGCTGGGGTGGACTGGACACTGTGGCTGTCACTTGGTGGGCTGGGACCCCATGTGGGGGGGAACCTGGAGCTGGGAGGGCAGAGCTGCCTTTCCAGTTGGCTAAGGACCCCAGTGACTTCCTTCTCTCACCCCGGGCGGTCATTTGTAGCCTCCCCTGCTGCTTGGAAATGTAGAGTCAGCAGAGCCGGCCTGGCCAGCTGCCGGCAAAGATGGCCAGCAGCAGGCAGAGACCTCAGCCCTGGGTGTGTGTGTGTGTGTGTGTGTGTGAATGTGCTGGGGTGTGGGGGTCCTGAGCTCTAGCCATGAATTTCCACACCCCTTGCTTCAGAGCTCCTGCAGGGTGGCAGCCTCTGGGAAGGGGGGCTGTCCCTGCCCCCAGCAGGGCTACGTGGACCCTTGGATCCTGCCACTTCTGACCTCAGAGCACTTCCTGGGGTGCCTTTGAGGGTGGGGGCCCATAATAGGGACCAGACGCCAGGCACTTCAGAGGCTCCTGAGTCCCCAGCCCCTGCAGGGAGCTGGGTGTCACAGGATGGTGGCTTCCAGCCCACCTTTCACCCCACAGGACTCATCCTTGGGGGCAGATCTGCCCGGTGGGGGGGGGGGTATCCTGGGAGGGTCTGCCCTGGGGGGCAGGGGCTGGAGGCAGGGCTGGGGACGAGTGGAGAGGCCAGTCACTCAAGCTTTCCCTGCCCTGGGCCACAGCTGTCCCCCACATTGTCCGTCTTCCCGGCGGCATCTGGTGTGGCCAGTCACAGACAGGCTCAGGGCATGGGGGTGGGGCCGTGGGCCAGCTCCCTAACCTGAGGCATGAGTGTGTTTGGGCAGGCCACGGGGGCTCCCCGTGTGGCTAGCAGTGTGGCTGAACTGAGCCAGGGCTTGTGGGAGAGCAGCAGGCCCACATGGCAATTTGCCTGAGGGAGGGACAGGGTAGCCATGGAGGACGGCGGGTGACCCTGCAGGACGGGGAGAGCCGCCCAGACACTCACTCTTCAGGGAGGAGAAAGCCTCCTTTTTCTTCCGGGGAGCGGTTGTGGTTTTGAACTGCCAACCCTGCCTTGCATGCAGCCCTGGGGGTCCCGGCTGAGGTGGGGCTGGCTGGCTGCTTTGGTCCATCTGGGGGCTGGTCCAGCTGGGTGACACCTTGTGGCAGACCACCCCCTGGGAAAGGGGCAGGATGCACTGTGGCCAGCCTGAGAACCAGAGAGCCCCCCTCCTGGGTGGGCAGCCATGGGAATAAGGACTAACTGGCCTCCCAGGGGGCCAGCTTTGTCCAAGGAGTGGCCCCCTTTTCTGCCCCCACCCCCTCCCTGGAGGTGCTTCTTCCTACAGCAAGCCTTTCCTGACTCTATGCTGGGTAAAGAGCTCCTTTTGCTCCCCAACCTCCTACTCGCACTCTTTAGGCGTCAGCTTCCCAGCAGAAGCACCCCTCTCCCCCAGCTACGGGTGCCTGGAGCAGCCCACCTGAGGAGCCGCTTAGAGTGGCGGGGGAGCTGAGTTTGCCCTGAGTCCAGCCCCTTCCACGGGGTCTTCCACGGGTCTCCTTGATTCCTGCTGCAGTGTGTTCCCTCGGCCGGCTTCACTGCCTCGCTCCCCTGGAGTCTGCACTACGGTTCTTGCCCCTCCGGGCTAGGCCCGGGCTCTTGCTGAATGGGGTCTCCAGCCCCCCAGCCCCACCTTGGCTGAATGAGTTGGCCACACCAGTGGCTCTAGGTCAGGCTGTTGGAGGGTTTCTGCTGGGCGGACCAGGCCTGGCTGCAGCCTCGGTCTGGTCCCCTCCCCACCCCAGCCTCCAAGAGCTTTGGGACAGTGGTCTTGTCATCCCTCAAGGGCCCAGTTTTCTGTCTGGGGAGCCCACAAACACGCCCCGCCCGCTAGCTGCTTCAAAGCCTGCTGAGGATGTGGGGGTGGCGGGGGCAGCTATGGGAGTACTCATCTCTCTGGCAACTGTGTTCCTGGTGGGCCCAAGCACACAAAACCAACTGGAAGTGTGTGCCAGCAGTGGTGGCAGGCCCTGCCCAGCCCTGACCACGTCTTTGCCTCTGGCCCCCAGGACCCCGGCCTCCCTGCTCTGCCTGTGGAGAAGCTCCCGGTGCCCGGGACCCTGTCAGCATGCTGCCCTGAGGCCGAGCGACACTGCGACGTCTGCGCCACCCACCTGAGCCAGCTCACTCGGGAGGCCCTGCAGCTGTTCCAGGCGCCCACTCGCCGGGAGGACCCCCATGCCCCCCGAGGAGGCCCAGGCACCATGACCACCTCGAGGGAAGGACCGGGCCCAGCAGCGAGGCCAGCAGGCCAGGCCGGGCCGGACAGGAGGAAGGGGCCCATCTGGCCTCCTGGGCCCAGCGTTCAAGTGTCCGTGTCTCCGGCCGGGCTTGGGGGCACCCTGAGCACTGTTACCATCCAGACCCCGCCCTGCTTGGAGGGCATGTGGGGCATCTCTGGAGTGAACCGCCTTCTCCCGCCCACTTGCCTGGTGAGTGCTCTGGGTGGGTGGGGGGCTGCTGGGAGCCCTGGAATGTCCTGACTGGTGGGTGTCCGGGGTGGGGGGCTACTGGCCTCTTGGGAGCCACCGGCCACCTGGCTGATGAGTGCCCAGGGTGGGACAAGGTGCCGGCTCAGGACTTCTGGTTCACTTCACACCTAGGGGCTGGAGGGCATGTCAGCTGTGGAAGCTGCCCAGAGCAGAACTATCTGGGGGTGTCCACCTTGGTGTCCTTGTCTCTTGTGATGGCCACGAGTGACCTCACGCTGGGGACTCCTGGGGTCTTCAGGGGCACCTGGGAATGGTTAGTCCTTGCCTCCAGCACTCTCACGTCGGTGCTCTGAGCATGTGGCTCCCCCACTGACTGATTCCAGCATGGCACCTGGTCAGCACTCCCTCCCCAGGGGGCCCAGCAGGGACCTGACAGGGTCTGGGCCTGCACCCCATTGTGCACACAGCCCCCTGGAACTGTGGGTGCTCTGGGTCAGGAGCTGACAGCCCTGGGGCCCTGGCTGGCATTGGGCCCCTATCTGTGATGATGCTGTGCTGACCCAGAGGGGGGCGTCAAGTGTCTGCTGGGAGCTGGGGGCTGAGGCCTGGCCTTCCTGGGGTACAGGGCTTTGTCACTGGGGGCTGGGGACAGGCCTTTCTGGGACCACTGAGATGCCCCTTGGGGCTGGGGGCAGGCCTTCCTGGCTTTGTCTCGAAGGGGTCCCCAGTTGCTCAGTGCACCCCTGTTTTCCTCCAGGAGACCGAGCCCCAGGATGGGGGTGCAGGAGGGTAGGGTTAGCTGTGAGGGGCTGTGCTGGATGTCTGAAATAACTCAGGGTGCCTTCCTCAAGAGCCAGGCCTGGCCGCCCCATCAGGCATGGAGGCTGGGGTCCAGTGAGGCCCTCTCTGGCTTACGAGTCAGGGGAGAGGTAGGTGAAGCCCAGGAAGAGGCAAGGATGACGGTGAGACCCTAGTTGCTCCTTGGGGGGTTTCCTGACAAAGCCCCCGAAGCTCCCATTCCAGGGGGCCCTGGGCCATTTCCTGGAGGCTGCAGTCGGTGTCGATTGAGGATGCTGGGATCCAGGGACAGTCTTCCCCAGTCTCGGTGCAGATGGGACCGTGGGACATAAAGGCAGGGGCAGATCCCTCTAGGGTTTGCGGCATGCTCTGACTGCCAGCCCCAGCCCGGCCCGGATGAGGCTCCTTCTTCAGAGCAGCTGGATCTGTTGGGGAGCTCGGGCCAGCCTCAGGGACCCACCCAGCACAGCCTGCCCCTCCCTCACCTCCTGGGCTCCTGGGCAAATGGCAGGGGTGGGGGTGGGGGCTGGGAGGACCGCCTGGGGCCAGAGGCCTGGGGCCCAGAGGCAGGAGCCAGAGTGTTGGGCTGTGAGGAGCACCAGGAGGTCCCAGGAGAAGGCCTGGAAGAGGGGGGGGGCGCTGCTTTCCTTGGGGAGCCTTGATGCCCTGTGGGTTTGCTGTGTCCTGCAGGAAGGGGAGCTGCCGGCCTCGAATACGTGGGGCTGGGGGCAGCAGCTCCCCCAACGCCCCCCTGACGGTGGTGCTCTTCTGCACCTTACTCCTGGGCCACCTCTGAAAGCCATGTCTGAGTCTGGGGGGTACAGGAGGGCCACCTGTGAGGCTCCGTGGAGCATGGGGGTGCTGGCTCTGCCTAGGCACCCCGAGGGCTATGGGGAGCACCCTTTCCCCCTTTCACACCCCCACTGACCTTGCCTGGGGGGGGGGGGTGCTGACTTTGTAATCAGACCTGGCGCAGGAGGTAGGAATGGCTGTTCAGGGCAGCCTGGAGGGCTTTGCGGGTCCATACTGTTTGGGGCAAGCAGTGTCTGGGCTATGGGAGTCGGGCCATGGGGTTCAGGGTGGGCATCTGCCTGGGATGCTTCCATCTCGGCCATCCACCTAGGGCGGTGGGGGCTCCTGTGGAGGGTGGCCTGGCTGTGGGTGGGCTGCCCTCCACTGCCCAGTGGTTGGCAGCTGTGGCTGTGATCATAACTACGGACACTTCCGGTCCCCACAAGCCAGGCCACCCCCTGCCTGAGTGCCCGGGGAGCAGCTTCTGGCTGCAGGATGGCCCAGCAGGACGGCTTCACTTCTTCCTCCCAGATTGTGTCCTGCAGGGGTGGAGGTGGGAGGCCTGCAGGGGTGGAGGTGGAGCATCTTCATCTGATAGACGCTCATTGGGAGGCAGCCTTGGGGCATCCTCCCGGCCAGCTGGCTGAGAGTGGGTGTCGAGGGCCTGGTTGCAGGCCTGAGGGACACCGGCAGCCCTATGAAGGCAAGGTGAGGCCTGGGAAGCTGACACTACGGGGCACCAGACCCGGAGCTGCAAGGGCTGCAGTGGTGGGACAGGATGTCCACCTCGTGCCCAGCGAACACCCCGGCCTTCAGTCACGAGCAGACCAGGCTGGAGTCCATTGAGGGACCCCAAGAGCACCCCTTAGTCTGGGCCTGAGGGTCAGGCTGAGGGTCCCTGACCTGGGGGGGCTGGGGGTGCCACTCGCCAGCCGTGGGTGGTCTGCAGACCTCACCTTCAGGGGCCTGCAGGGTGGTCATTGGAGGGAGCCGGGACTCTGTTGAGCAATTGCCGGCCCCTGCCTCAGTTTACCTTCCTGTGGGGTGTGGGCCCTCCTGACCCAGACAGTTACACCCTGAAGCCCTCGGGAGAAAACTTGGGGGTGGTTGGAGGGTGTGTGTGTGTGGCTGGTCTGCAGTGTGGAGGAGCGGGGAATGCTCTCACCCAGCAGAGAAGGGGCCCAGCTGCCCTGCCCCTCACGCCTGTCCCTGCCCCTAGTTACACTGCTCAGTGGCCCACCCTCCCCCCGAGTCCTCAAGGCCAGAATGTGTGTGTGGGTGGACTCCAGGCCTGGGGGCACCATGAAAGTGCACTCGATGGCTTGTCCCAAACAGCTGCATGGAACCCAGAGCCCCATGAGGCCAGTGGGGACCCCTTAAAGATCCGTGGGGATCCTGTTGACACCTCTGGGCCTCTGCTCTGTGGGGTGTGGCTCCTCCCTGGGGCACAGGGTGCATTGTGAGCAGATGTGTGGCCATCAAGTGGGGCCACTCACTGCAGGCCTGGGACCTCATGGGAAGGGTCTCCACACAGGTGGGGTGGGGATAGCCACAGGGTCTCCATGGGGTCAGGGCTGTGAGATGGAAGTAGAAGGCCTTAGATGCAGGCCTGTGTTGTGATGTGGGGGAGGGCATAGCAGGGATTCAGGTGGCTGCCAGCAGGGTGGGGGTCTCAGGCAGGTCTGGATTGGGGTCCAGGGGTGGGGGAGGGAAGGGTCTCAGGCCTGTCGCTGTGAGGATGGGGGTGAGGGTCTACAGCGTATCTGGACTTGGGGTGCCGCC